AAATTGATATTGGATTAGCATTTGTTGGATATGTGTAAAATTATGTGTGTTGACATATCAACTGTCTTTACATGCTTGAAAGAAAAGAATAAATCAAATAAGCTCTGTGTGGAGTTTACAGGGTCTCCACTTGCCTGCTGGGATTTCCTCCGGTTTCCTCCCACAGTCCAAACACGTGCAGGTTAGGTTGACTGGTGAATATAAACTGTCTGTAGGTGCGAATGTGAGTGTAAACAGTCGTCTTTCTTTGTGTGTCAGCCTGTGATTAGACTGGTGACCTGCCCACATGTACCCCACCTCACGCCCAGTGTGGGCTGGGATTGGCTACAGTGACCCCCAGTGGTAGTATCAAGAATGACACTGTGGCAGATGACGATAGTAATGTGACTGAGTTGAACGGATTGAAAACTTCCCAATAACCTTTCCACTCTAAGTGAAATGATCATATTGTTTCTACAAACAAACTAATTTGAAAACTAATAAATATTCTACAACTATTAAACCTGTTAAGTGCTTGGAAGCTTGTGTCTAACGGTGTTGCTGCACCCCAGATCTCAGCAAAAAGTCCAATGAGTAAAACATTAAAACTAATAAAAATAAAGACCAAAACTATAAAAAATAAATACCCTGGTTATAAAATATACAGTCATTATCCCTTGACAAGCTTCTAATTGCCACTTAACCCTGCAAAGGACACATCAAATCAAATGACATTATGTTTACAGAGGTGAATGACACCATGCTTCCATGTTAAGCCTTCTTAACAAAACAGTGTCTGTGGTCATTTCTACACACTCCCATGCTTCAGCCCAACCTTTTAATCACAGAACCGTCGTCCTGCACAATCTCTTTCTCTACTACATGAGGCAGGAGCACTTTCCCAAAGACTCCAGCATAACTCAATGCCTGGAGGGAGGAGAGTGGGATCAGAAGGAGGAAAGAAGAATGACAAACACTGAGAACCTAACAAGAATCTTTAGTCAGCAGTGAAAGCACTACCTCTCATCACCATCAGATAAAGTACCTGATAAATGTGTGAGATCAGCTGTTGATAGAATTGTTTTTTCTACTTCAGACACACTGACCTTCTCAAAGTCCTCTCTGGCTGAGGGGAGATCTGCAGCCAGTGAGGTGTCTCCCGTCTGTTTCTCCATCCTCTCGCCTCTCACCACCGTCGTCTTGACAACCTTGCTGACCTTTCGACCCTGCACTGGCTCCACCTCAAACTCTGAAGCTGTGGCGGCGCCCAGGGCAAGGGGCTCCGAGAGGGTCAACTAGAGAGAAGGTGACAAAAATCAAGGCACCTGAAATTGTACTATGTACTTACAGTACCTCAGTGTTTAATCTAATACTGTCCCTGGGTCAAAGTTTCAACATATCCAGTACTCTTAATGCTGAATACCAGTAAAGCCCATCCCATCAGTCTCAACTGTAATAATGGTAGGCAGCACCTACTAAAGATCACAATGTTATTGTACCACTGCACTGGTGAGTATGCCGCTGGTAGCACCGCTGTGCCAAATGACTGGACTGCACACTCTTATTGTTTCATCTAATTCGCTGTACTGTATTAGCGCTCTAGTAGGCTTGGTAATTAGCTGTATATTACATTTGCTAAACAAAGCTAGGAATTCCAAGATTCTTATACTGTAGCTGGTAAGGCAATGCTAACATCAATGAGTTTAATGACAGCTAGCAGCAGTAGCTAGCTAGCTTGCATAGAACTTTGCCAACTTTACATACTTTAGGTTTTACATTTCAAATACATGTTTGCACACAGGTATTTTATAGATGTGGTTTTAGTATGTTTTACGGTTATGTGAGGTGCAACTTGGACATCTCAGCGAGGCAGTTCATGCTTGCTTTTGGCCACAGCTACCTATTTTTGCCTCAGAAGTGGGCATTTCCAAACTTCATAAAGCTCTTGAATGCAGCAAAAAGACTGTTCGTTATCAAAAGTAAAAACAAACATATCAGGTACAATCTCAATGAGGAACAATACTAGGATTAGATAACTGAATCCTTCAAGGATTCCTAGCAATACTTTATTTTGTTCAGTACACACATTAATATAATTCATAATAGAAATCCAGTAATCCAATTAGAGCTTAAAACCATATTAAAGTAGAAGATAAAATGACACTCACTTCTTTCTGATCTCCCTCACTATGAAGCACGGTTCTCTTCACCACTCTGGAGACATTGTCTCCCTCCTCGATCTGCACCGACTCCTGCTGAGAGCCCTCGATGGTCACTTCCTGTGTCTCCGTGCCATCTGCTGACACATACTTACGAATCACCTTCCGTGTGATCTGGTCAAGACAAAAAGAGAATAAGGATAATCTGAGAATAAGTATTTCTCATGATGTTCAGCATATGGAACAATACTTTGGTTTTACAGGGATTTTTTTGACATTTTGATGTTGTTGACTTGCTTAAATGTTCCCTTACCTTCTTAACTACCATGTTCCCATGCTCATCTATGTACTTCTCCTCAGTGACAGTCTGTGATGGGATATCTGGAAGGGTGTCTGCCTGTAAAAACACAAAACACCTGCTGTCAGTTCACACATATTACAGTCCTGCATATATGTGCATGATCACAGTACATCTATATCAAACAGTGTATTTCTTTCATCACACTGTGGCTTTAATTTTTCCAATATTAAACATTTCTATAACAACAGAGTATCACTGATATGACAAAATTAAAAAGCGAATGCTAGAAACAAACTGCAAACAAACAAATGTGGTTTAGATGTTCTCCACTCAAAGTTTACTTTCTGCATTGCAAGAAAACAGTATTGTCATATCAAACACATGTAGTATGGGACAGTCTGTGTATGATTAACCCATTAAATGAAGCCCAGCATGAGAATCAACACTAACCCTCAGCTCCCTACTAACCCTGCATCACTCCACAGTGCACTGGCTGCACAGCTGCATCGTGCTTGTTTACCTGAATGATAACTCTCCGTCGGACCACCCTGGTGGTCAGCACCTCCTCCTCTGAGCTATCAGAGGACAGCATCCCTAGCTCCTCCGCTATCTCCTGGGAGACAGCACACAACCACCACGGGTCAAAACATCAGCTCCGTTAAGTGTTACTGGAGCTCGCTACTGCAGGCAGCGCTGTTCCTTCTTTCCTCTTAACCTCACTTTTATGTTTACTTGCCAGAAAGGTTCTTATACAAATGGAATGAGGGAATGAAATTAAATTGGATGGCTACACAAAATAGTGACGTGAGATGAAGAGAAGGCACAGTTATGCAAATACACAAACGACATAAACATTCTTTCCTTCTTTCCTCTTAACCTCACTTTTATGTTTACTTGCCAGAAAGGTTCTTATACAAATGGAATGAGGGAATGAAATTAAATTGGATGGCTACACAAAATAGTGACGTGAGATGAAGAGAAGGCACAGTTATGCAAATACACAAACGACGTAAACATGCAAGAATGGGAACCAGCGTGTGAAATATGGTGGGACTCTCATACAACATTTGAAAATCACTGAATTATTTTTCATTGTGAAAGAAATTTGCTATGTTGAAATATACTAGAATTTTCCTTTCATGTGTGGCTGAAGCGGGGCTACACCGCATGAGATCCCCCCATTGACAGCGGGTATTTCACACACTGACAGGAACAGCAACAAGCAGAAATGAAGAGATGCAAACAGGTGCGGATGTTAACAAAGAGCTGTTACAGAATTTGTTCTTTAAAGCAGCTTGTAAATGCCACTGGTGCCGACTTCAAAATGAGGAACAGCAAATACATCACAACACCAACATCAAAAACTACTTTTTCAGTTTCTGACATTTAATACAGCAACTCATCACAGTTGTTAAAATGTTTATTATTTTCTTGGTTTAGACACTCATGCACACAAAAGCACTCATCAGCCTCATTTAATTCATAAAGTGTCAATTCATGTGTTTAATGTCCTGAGTCTTGAATGCAGCACAACAGGGACCAGCCTTAAACCAGGCAAGACACCAGCCAGTGCGCTCATGCCAAACCTCTTACCCTTCCCAGAAAGTCGTCATCATCGTAATACCCTGCCTGACCTCTGGGAGGAAGCTCCTCACACACTGGGAAGTCACAAGCTCCACGGCCCTCCTGTGAGCCCTCTGAATCATAAGCAAACTCACCAAGACTTTCACTTCCAGAAGAGAAGCGCTTCTCTTTCAGAAAGCCAATATCAGGGCTACTAATAGGCATTGGGGAAGGAGGCTCCGAGACACGATAGGTAATTTCATGTTCCAGTTTGACCTCTTCTGGTTCAGAGAAGTCCGAGAAGGCTTGTCTGCAGTCAAAGAACTCCAGCTCCGAGTCTGAGTGCTGTGGAGACTTACAACCCTGACTGAGTTCTTTAGATTGGCCTTTTGCTTCTTCTGATTCAAATTCTGAGACTGTTTTCTCAAATTCTGAGAGGACTCGGTTAAAGTCTGGAGAAAATGTGAACTCTTCAGCAGTTTCAGCCTTTGCCTTGGCAGTAGCTTCAGTCATGACCTGTGCTGGGACGGAGTCACTGAACACTGGGGATACTGGACTCAAATCGTCCAAGGAGGCTTGGCTACATTCAGAAACTCTCTGGGTTTCATGGCCTGAAAACACTGCTTCATAATCAGGTGGTACCACACGCTGGCTCGACATGGGTGAGAAAAGCTCACTGGACAGCGTTTCCGCAGGGGACAACTCTGAGTGACCACGCGATCTATCCGCCTTTACACAGGATGTCTTCTCAGGTAAAGGTAGAACTGGAGTAACAGTTCTGTGGGTTGTGTATACGCTCTTGTCAGGTAGCTGAAGAGGAACTGATTTCATTGTCTTGCCATCACTGAATTGCACACTTATTTCACTGGTGTCTTGCGTCACTGTTGTAGCAGACAACAGCTTGCTTTTCACCTCATCATCTGTCTGAAACTGTGTTTCCTCTGGTGTATGAGGAGCAGCCTGCAAGTGAATGTCAACATGACCTAAATAAGTTCAGTTGAAATGAGCAAACATTTTGGTATACACTTAAAATTTCACCAACTTATCACTGGGCAGCCAACAACTCATGAGATTTAGAACAATTAAGGCAAAGCATGCAACCTTAGCATCTCACCATCACACAAATAGATGAGAATTGAATGAAGAGTGATTAGTAATATTTCCATCCAAACTCTTCACATTCCAGATATATTATGGGCAACGTGAGTGTATCAACACACACCATTTTGTTACTACTTCACCAAAACATGTCCTGAGTGTAACACAGTGTTAACTCGCTTCATCCATGCGGCATGTTAATAAATTTGTCAAGTTTGCTGGATTGTCATGCTCTCACTCTTACCCTTTGAGAGGCTGTCTTGCTCTTTAGTTCTCTGGTGCTAATGTGTAGGACCTTCTCTTCCTTTCGTTTTATATCTTGAACTGGTGATGGCTTCATAGAAAAGTCTTTCTGAAGGTCATCTTCACAAACAGTGGTTGGCAAAGCTGAGATACTCTCAGCTTCTGATCCACACTGCATCCATTTGTCATATGTAAAAACCTCTGATTCTTTCTTCGACTGTATCTCCCTCATTTGATGTGGTAAGGGTGACACAGCTCTCTGTTTTTTCTTAGGGACTGATAAATGTTGCTCAGGTAATAAAGGAGATGTCACATGACTCAAAGGTTCTGGTTTAGAGACTAACCCATCGGTACTCTCACAACAGAATCCTAATTCCTCCTCTGACTCAACAGTTTCAGGACTTAGTGGCCTTGGGTTGGTTCCAATCCAACAATCAACAGGTGAAGCAACAAATTCAGAGTCTGATGACCAAGACAATGGTGAAGGTGATATATCAAATGGGACAGGATCCATAAAATAGGAGGACAATATTCTCATAAACTCGGGCACTGGTGAGTCAGGGAACAGTTGCCTGAACTCACTGACAGAGGAAATGGAATCTGGCGAGGATGCTCTCTCAGTCTCAATGGCACTGGATGATGTAATTATAAGCTCGCACTCTAAATCTGAACCTACTGATGCCGGTGATGAAGACCCATATGTAGTGGTGTACTCATGCAATGACACTGTAAACTGAGTGATGGGAGAGTCTGGAGAGAGAGACCTGTTCTCATTGAACTCAGGCATTGACTCTGGAGACGATGCTCTTTTGTCAGTCATTTGCATGGCTGATTCAAGTGACATAGGTCTGTATTCAGGCAGTGACTGAGATGACAATGGCCTATCTCTCTCAAACTGATTCTCTGATCCTGATTGTGAAGATTCTAAAGGTGATGGTCTGCATTCTGCAAGTTCCAAATCCAGTGGCAAGTAATCTATATCTGATGCAAAAGTTTCAGGTGAAGATGATGCTGATCTCATGGATGTTACACATTCTGGAAATGCTACTGTATATTCAGGCAAGGGGGAATCTGGTGAGAGAGGTCTTAACTCATTAACAGATTCTGGTGATGATGGTCTTTCTTCTACCACAGTGACCGAATTAAGAGATGCGAGTCTGTCGTTGATCAAGGATTCTGGTGAATAACATAGATCATCATGCTGTAACACAGACAGAGCTACCAAATCATAATCAGAATCTGTTTGTGCCTTAGGGGAAGGCATTTCTGATGTGTAGTTGTTCTGTCTGTTTTGAGATGCTGGTGAAGACAGAATGTGCTCAAACACTGGTGGAGCTGGTTCTGTATTGTGCATGTGAGATATGACTGTGGACGTTTCTGTTATAATCAAGTGGCGCGGCACTTCCAAAGGTGGTACTGTGCTATTAGCATCATGCTCATTTTCATCTTTTACTTTATTTTCTTGTTCATTAGCTGGAACACTCCTTTCATATTCTATTGTACTGCCTATTAACTGCATGATCCCAGTTTTACTGCTGAAAGTTTCTCCTGTATATTGGGGATCATGCACATGAGAAATCAGCTTCCATAACTCAGCATCATAAATGAGATTGTACTCCGCTACCATAATGGCTGATTCCTCAAGTGAGTTAGGGGCAACAGTTGTTGATACAACAGAGCTACCAACGGTTGCTTCAGCGGAAGTTGGAGCCTTGAATTCGCATATTGAGGATAAGGGCGCCAACATCAATTCTTCATTATCTGATGAAACAGACTCTGTCAATAGATATCTATAATCAGAGTCTGACACCTCTGACTGACAGGATTCTGCTCTGTCCTCAAAATCAAATACCTGTGAAATCAAGGAAGCATCTTCTATTTCTGAAGGCTCTGATTCAGATGTTGATGACCTGTAAGCTCTGAACTCAAGATATGGCTCAGTCAGATTCTGTCTAAAATCAGGCACAGGGGAATCAGGAGAAAGTCTTGGGTATTTACTTGCAAATACTAAGCACTCAGGTGATGAAGGTTGGTCTTCTATGACCATTAGGGAAGATAATTCCATTTCCAAATCTGACAAGAAGGACTCAGGTGAAATAGACTGATAGTCGGTATGTAATACAGAGGACTCCTGCAGTGCCTGTGCAAATTCAGGAATGGGTGAGTCTGGCGAAAGAGGTCTAAACTCGTCTTTGGATGCAGCTGAATCAGGGGATTCTGGTCTGTCCTCAAAAAGCCAGGGGACACATAAATCAGTCTCCAAGTCCTCATCTGAACATACTGATTCAGGTGATGAGGATCTGTATCTTACCTCTAACATAGCGGGTGCACTCATGGTGCACTGGGGTAGTGGAGAGTCAGGAGACAAACATCTAAGATCAAAATCAGATGCCCCTGACTGACGAGATTCTGCTCTGTCCTCAAAAAGCCAGGGGATGCATAAATCAGTCTCCAAATCCTCATCTGAACATACTGATTCAGGTGATGAGGATCTGTGTCTTACTTCTAACATAGCAGGTGCACTCATGGTGCACTGGGGTAATGGAGAATCAGGAGACAAACATCTAAGATCAAAATCAGATGCCCCTGACTGACGAGATTCAGCTCTGTCCTCAAAAAGCCAAGGGATACATAAATCAGTCTCCAAATCCTCATCTGAATACACTGACCCAGATGAAGCAGATCTATACATAACCACCATCATAGGAGGTTCGGTATGAAGGTACTGAGGAATCGGAGAGTCTGGTGACAAACACTGGTGTTCACAGAAAGACAAGACTGATTGTGGAGAATCTGGTCTCTCATCAGCTTCAAACAGCTGAGACATTAGTGGAGCTAATTCTATATCCGATGCCACCGATTCAGGCGATGATGACCTGTAACCACTAATATCAGCATATGGAGTTGGCAAAGCTGATATGAACTCAGGTATGGGGGAATCTGGTGAAAGTTGCCTGTATTTACTGAGTGATGCTAAAGACTCAGGAGATGATGGTCGGTCCTCAAATAACATTGATAAAGGTAATTCCATGTCCATTTCCAAATCTGATGACACTGACACTGGTGAAGAGGACCTATAGTCCATGTATGTGTTAAAAGGCCCTTGTAGTGCCAGTCTTAACCCTGGAATGGGAGAGTCTGTTGCAAGTGCTCTAAATTCATTTACAGAGCCAGTTGATTCAGGAGAGAATGATCTGAAATTTGACACCATTAGTGATGTTGGTGAGAAAGGCCTATAATCAGATTCAGAGTCAAGAGACAGAGGTCTCTCTTCAACCCCTGACTCTAATAACTCTGGAGAGTTTGGTCTGTTTTCAGTATCAGGTTGGGAATTAACCAAATCAGCACATTCGACTTCTGACATAGCTGATTCAGGAAATGCTGACATTAACCTAATAAATGATGGAAAACGTTCAACAACTCTTGTGGCGACCTGTGGAACAGGTGAATCTAGTGGCAATATTGACGCTTCTGTATGTAAATCAAGGGAAGCATGTTCTTTAGTGGTCTTCACATATTCAAACACTCTTTTTGTAAAAGCATCTCCTACATAATGAGGATCATATAGTTGACACATCAGCTGGTTTGTTTTAAATTTTGCACTAGCAGCTGATTTCCTTTCTTCAAACATGGAAGTAACTGAATCAGGTGAGTTTGTTCTCTGATCTGTAAAGACCACTGAATCTGAACACTCATATTCAATATCTGAATGTACTGATTCTGGTGAAGAGGATCTGTACCCAATCACAGCTGTAACTGATTCAGGTAGTGCAGGTCTGAAGTCCGGTAAAGGTGAGTCAGGTGGTACTGTCAAGTTTTCATCTACAGATATTGGAGAACTAGGTGACCAAGTTATAACTTCATCGAAAACCCAGGACAGGCAATGGTCTGAATCCTCATCTGACTCTGCTGATTCTGAATATGGCTGGGAGTGTGAAATTTGAGCAAAGTCAACAGAAAACTGGGGAACTGGGGAATCTGGAGACAAGTCCTTCAAAGACTCAGGAGAACAGGACCTGAGTGCACTCATTAATGTCAATTCACTTGATGATAAAGGTTTGTATTCTGCCTCAGCATCAGGTGATACTGGTATATCTTCCCCCTCAGTCTTTGCTCGCACTGAATCAGATAAATCGTCAATGTCCAACTTCACACCACCCACAGACTCTCCCTCTTTTACACCCGAATCCTCTAAAACATACTCAGTTCTAGTTCCAGCATATTCAAAAACACCAGTTTTACTGCAAAATGACTCCGCGAAATAGTGAGGATCATGTATTTGAGAAATGAGCTTCCAAAGTTCAGCATCATAAACAAGTCTATAGACTGGTACCCTGATTGCCTTTAGAGATTTATTACTACCACCCAATAGCCCCTCTGAAGTCTCTGATACCTGTGACTCTGGTGAGTTGGGTCTCTGCTTAGAAATACGCATATCTTCACTTAGTTGTGTATATTCAACCTCTGAAATTTCTGACTCAGGAGATGATGATCTGTGGGCAATAATCGAGGTTGATTCAATAACTGAGTCACCTGTATCGTCATCACTAGAAACTACTGAATCCGGTGATGATGGTCTCACTTCAGGCCACAGTTGTGATGGAAACACAGCCCCATATTCTAGATCTGACCAAAATGCTACAGGTGAAATGGGCCTTTTCACTGTGGTCGAAACAGCAAATTCTGGTAAAGCCTGCCAAAAGACAGGAATGGGTGACTCAGGGGAAAGTGGCCTGTTTTCATCAAGAGAATCTGGGGAAGACAGTCTGTTCTCAGTGAATAATAATGAAAAGGATGTCCCACATTCTAGATCTGAGGCTACTGACTCAAGTGATGAAGACCGGTCCAATGCAGCATTAAAAACTGATTCTGCTATAAACTGTCTAAACTCAGGAACAGGTGAGTCAGGTGAGAGTGGCCTGTATATGTTTATAGATGACAGTGAATCAGGAGATGATCTGTCCTCAAAAAGAAATGATGCATTTAAATCAGTCTCCAATTCCAGATCTGAAAGGGCTGACTCTGTTAACACTGATCTGTGATAAACTTGGGAGGCTCCAGAGAGAGAGGCAAAGTACTGAGGAACAGGGGAATCTGGTGTTAAAGCTCGTTGACTATCTACAGATCTCTCTGGTTGGGATGAATCTGGTTTGAGTGATTCCAGCACCATCAGTGATTGTGGGGACGTGGGTCTATAGTATCCTGGTGAAAGATATCTTTGATGACTTTCTGACTGTAAAGTAGCACTTTCATCTCTAGCTGCCTCAACTGGATGTGTTTGATAAAACTCTCCTACATACTGTGGGTCATGAATTTGAGAAATGAGTTTCCAACGTTCTCCATCATTTTCTGAATGGGAGACTGACACTGAATACTCTGTTAAACATAAAGGTTTATGATGCTGAGATCCAGAAGCTGAAGACTCTCCATGTATTTGCTGATCTTTAGTGATATCTGTAGTAAACGCCAATGACAAAGGTCGATCATCAGATGCAGTTTCCAGCGACAAAGGAGCCGACAAGGTTTTACCAGATGTTTGTATCTCTTCAGGTGTTTTAATTATAAATTCAGAGGATTCTTTTTGATAATATGTAACAGTCTGCACAGGTTCATCATCAGTTTTGAGTGATTTCTTAGATACTTTGTTTCTAGCGCATTCTTCCTTCTCAGTTACAGGACTGTGAATTTTCTCATCTGATTTTACTTCATCAGACACCTCATGAGATAGTTCTTCTGTAATTACATCAGTTGGCAAAACCTTATCTTCTGCTGATGGTGATACAATGTCAGAGTGACTGTCATCAGGCACTACTACTGACTGCATCTTATGAGCATCAGTTTCACAATGTTTCTTAGGGTTTTCTTCTCCAGATTTTGACAGAATATAGGTTGTATTTTTGCCCTCAGCTTTTGGCTTTTCTAGATAAACAATTACATCAGATTTTGCTTCAAACTGGTTTTTAAGACATGCCTCTTCTAAAACAATTCCACCTTGTGTCAGTTGAAGTGCCATGTCTTCTTTGGGAGGGAGGCCAGTTACAGGATTTAGCAGTAGCCCATGATCGCTTATGAAGCTACTAGACTCAGGAGATGATGGCCTGTTCTCAAAACATGACAGCAACGGCATAGCCTCACACTCTGCATCTGACAGCACAGATTCTGGTGATGATGACTGATATGTTATAGTGACAGTATGATGCACAGATGGTGTATATTGTGGAACGGGAGAATCTGGGGACAGACGCTCATTTAAGGTTTCTGATTCAGAACAGGATTCTCTATAGTCTAACGTCACTGATTGTGGAGATGTTGGTCTACAGACAGGAACTGCATCTGGATAAAGTGTTCTTCCTTCGATACCAGACAAAGATATAATAACCCAGTCATCATCATACTCGCATACTAATTCCACTGGTGGTGTTGATTTGTTCTCTGTATCACATGCTAGTAGTTCAGGTGAATTCGGTCTATGATCAGAACGTATGGAATCATATACTACCTGCACAGATTCAGCTGACTCAGGGGAAGCTTCTCTATGTCCAACGACAGGTGCAATAGATTCAGAATCACTGTCAGATGCAACTGAAGTAGGTGAGGAAGCTCTCTTTTCATGATTAAGTGATGCTGGAGACATGCAGCCATATTCTACATCTGATAATACTGACTCAGGTGAAGTGGATCTGTCCCCTATAACAACAATTGCTGAGTTAGGTAAATTGTGACTGAATTCAGGTATAGGTGAATCAGGTGGCAATGCTTTTTTTTCATTTATAGATGCTACAGATTCTGGGGATGAGGGCCTGTCTTCAAAAGGTGTTGATAAAGGTGGTGTTTCAAATTCTATACCTGATGACACCGGCTCAGGTGAGGATGATCTGTCCTCTATGTCAAAACTTAATGACTGAGGTGACATGGACATCTCATTACTATGATCACTGCCCGGTGATACTGGCCTTCCAAATGGTATTTTGTTTGAAATCATTGGTGCTAATGGCCTTTCTTCTGCTTTTGATGTTAACAGCATGTAAGTGCCTCCTGGTGCACTCAGTAATGGTTTGCCCTGAAGAAATACCCCAACATCACCAGTTTCCCATGGAAAAGTAGTGGGTGGGAGAGGAGACAAGGGCCTAAACTGAGGTACTGGAGAATCAGGTGCAAGAAAATTCAGCTCATTTACTGAAGAAATTGACTGAGGTGATGAGCCCCTACTCTCTATTGACAGTGCTGCTGTTTCAGTCACATATTCAGGTGAAGATGATCTGCCATGAACTAAGCTGTAACATTTACCAGAGGTTTCAGATGTGGATTCTGGTGAATGGAATCTATACCTGAATGCTTCAATCTCTGGTGCAGGCTGTACAGAGAACACAGTCTCATTTTTAGGGTCTTTTTTCATGTCCTTTTCTTTTGATATAACTGGCTGAACATCAGCCTGGCCAAAAGCTGAGTCATGTGACATCTGAATGAAAGTGGCTGGGCTCAATTCTGGTTTTTCAGATATTAAACCTGGAATTGTATGACTGTAATCAGAAGGACCTCTTAACTCCTGAGTGGTTGTATATTGCGTTTGACATATGCTGTGACTGGATTTGACATCATGGTCACCTGAAATATTGACCAGGTAAGCATCAATGTCATGCTCAGAGTTTGAAGCATTAATCTTTGTGTGTCTGGCAGCTTTCACAACCTCTTTACTGACTCCAGCTTGAATGCAGTCTTCAGGGGATGCATTCATGGGCATTATAAACACATCATCACGATCTGAATCTATCAGTTCAAAATCATATCCATACAGGACGTTATGTGGTTGACTTGAGACTTCATCCGTGTGTTTTGTGGCAATTAGTTTTGTCTGCGTGGATTCTTTGGATGCATTAATAGGACCAGAAGGAAGCAAAGATGGAGGCTGAAGCATTTGTTCACTTGTCAGTTGCTGTGAAACCTCAGAGAACTTATCGGTTTCTGTGAGCTCCATAGACAGTTTCCTGAAGTCTTGCTCAGCTTGATCACATTCAATCAAACTATCTCCAAAATCATTCATAGACAATGGTCTACTCTCACATACACCTGTTTGAGAATTATTGCATGACTCTTGCCAAGACAGCGGTGACAAATGATGAGCACCATATCCAGAATGGGTGCTTCGTAGACACTCCAAGCTCCATTCCTCTCCCTCCTCTGCCCCTTCATATCCAGCAGCCCCCTCATCATAACATGGTTCAACAGTGGGGGAAGGAGTAGAGGTATTCCGGGTGCTTAACTTCGGTGCGCCTTTGTACACAGGGTCTATCACATGGGATCGGAGATTGTAGGGAGAGGTGCAGTACAATGTGAAGAAAGGACTTACTTGTTTATAATGGCCTTTGTGCACTGAGTCTGTCAATTCTTCATATATTCCTTGTGATGGGCTGAAAAAAAAAAACATTTCAATATTCAGTCACTGGATACTGTTTTGATTAACCCTGATAAGCCTTTGATATAATCAGAGCATTCCTTCATAACGTCACACTGAAAAAATCTGAAGATATTCCAAACAACAACAACATGAGTAATGTAAACTTAACAGTAACGATACTAAAATGCAATCAACTCAAAATACATGTCTTCTTGGTGTCAGAAATCAGTGGCAGTGATATCCCAGTATACTATTATTATTGCAAGGAGAAATCGACATGCCAGCACTGACATATGGACTTACGTTTTGAACAGTGTGCTACAGTGGTCTAGTAATTTAGTTATCTAGCCTGTAAACTAAAGTCAGCAGTGCAGTTTTTCCTCTGGTGGGTATTTGTTGGGAAGCTCATACAGCAAAGTGCAACACATACATATTTGCAGATAAACTAAACAGCAAGAAGGCAAATGTGAGCGTGGTCACATGAATTACCCTTTTTGGATAACTTACTATGTTGTCTCCATCTCTTTTTGGGTATTTCTAAGAAAGCCTGTTGCTGTGGAGTCTGTCTCTGATCGCCCTGTTGTCTCATGAAGTGATGACAAACTGGAGGACAGGTCCTCTGCTGACACCATGGGTACCTCTTGTCCTGAGCCTGGACTCCTACGTGCCACCACTGAATGCCTGCCTGGACTGGGGCTGTCAATGTCTTCATGAAGGGCAGAGAAACCTGACAAAGGATACAATGCAGGCATCAAAACAGGACGTGTTAGTACATGACAGAATTTTACACAAAGCTATCAATTAGAACTTTAGACACAGACATAAAGCAACCAAATTATCAGTCTTGTGCACCTTCACTATGGTCCAGTGCTATGGTCTGCTCAATTTCTGCATAGGTATGCGAAGATGTCTCTTCCTGAGTGGACTTGCTTATCTTCATTTCAATGAGGTGAACAATGTCCATTCGGTTGATCTTTGTTAATCTTTTGATCAATGTCATTTCTGTTGAAACAAAAAATAGAACCACCGTTCTACATTAAATAAGAGCTACTTTGTATGAGACATACTGTATGTACCCTACTTATCACGTACCTGTGGCATGCGTTCCCTCCCTCTCTGCCCAGAGTTTCAAAAGGGCATGGCTTTGGTCTTGTAGTGAGTTGGGGTTTTCAGTCCTTATCAGGTTGATCCTCTCCTCACTGAAGTCAAGTTCTCGTGCCAACTCTGTGGAAAAAAAAAAAGAACATATACAGTAATAACCATAATGATGATCCAAAGATAAATCTGAACGGTTTGAAATTGTGCTTTTGGGACAGTCTGTGAAGCATTAATAATGCGTATTTTCAGTGATATAGCTTGATATTACTAGTAAGATGTGACTCACCTGTCCAGCTGAAGCCCAGGTGGTCAGCTATAATGGCCAACCGTTGCTCTTTTCTCTCTGCTTCATCCTGTGGATCTACTGCAAATACCACCAAACAGCCATGAGCGGGCAGAGCCGCAAGGTATACCAAATCAAGTTACATTCACAAACGGCATCTGATAAAATCTTCACTGGCTTTCTTGTTATTGTACTACTGCTTGTTTGATTATTCATAATATCAGGTTAAGGAACTGCAACCCAAGACAAGTACATAATATGTCTGTAAGGAATAGCTGTGATAGATCATGTGGTGGCATTTTGATTAAAAACGCATTTCTATCATTAGAAAATTACTGATATTACATGTGATTGTTCAGAAAACTATTTACACTTTTATCTTTAAAGGAAGTAATCACAAGTTCCATAAAGCTTTTAAGTCAATCTTGAGATTTTCAGCACACATAGAAGGAAAGAGAGACATCATTACGAACACAAACACAGCTCGAAGTGACACAGCCATATGGATTCTTCAACTACAACGGGACATAACTACAAGAGACAGAGAGGCAGCACCTTTACAGCTAGGGTACTAATGAGGCACAAGAGATAGAGAACAGCCCCTTTAACTGGGGGGATACCTTGACTTTGGACTTTATCGTCTGGGATTCGCTGCATCTGTGTCTCAACAGGGTCGTCCCACAGTGGTCTAATAGGAAAGACGTCTCCTGAGGTAGGGAACTGCAACTCAGGAAAAGTTTCTCTTTCTATAACTGATGGATCAATGAGACTGCTCTCATCATCTGAGTTGGCAGCTGCAGCCTCTTGTTCTTCCTCTGTGTCTGCCTTTGCCAACCTTGCCACAAGTTTTGCTGCTTCATCACTTATCTCTTCAAAGAACTCAATGGACTGTTTGTGTGGGCCACTTTTCTCTTTAGTAGGATTTGATGAATGAGACGACTGACCACTTTTACCCCGGACAGGCAATCTGGACTGAAAGCCTTTAGATTTTGTTGACTCAGCACTCAAGGGGCGGCCCTGTTCTTTTTTAGCAGATGGCCTGGTAGACTCTCCCTCACAGAAGCTCTTAGCTTTGGAAGATGGTGTCTTGGTTTTGACAGAGGGGCTTGCATCTGTCTCAGAATTTCTCCTTGTATTTTTTTTTACTGGTACTTTAAGCTTTTTTTCTTGGGTAGATTCAAAACGTTTGGCAGTAGAATCAGGCTTAACAGTGCTAGCTTTGATAGGAATTCTAGATTTTGATTCAGAAGTGAAGGAGGACTCTTTTTTAAGAGTGGCTGAAGAGGAAGTTGCCTGAGTCTGAGAGGGAATTGTGGATTTACCTCGAACTTGAGGAGCAGTTTTAGCTTGTATTTTGACTGGAGTCTTTTTAACACTACTGGGAACACTTTGTTTGGACTTGCCTGTTGGTTTGGGGGCTTCTATCACTGACTGTGGTTCCTCTGGAGAGGAATCAGATGACTCTTGGCCCTGCTCAGAGTAAACAGATCTAGTGACTGTAGTTTCTGCTGTTTGTACATTTGCTATAATTTGGTCAGGGAAATTTGTGTCTAAATCTGAGGACCCTTCATTTATATTTCTGTCTGTTTTAGTCTCTAGACCTTCAGGAGAAGTCAGATCTTTCTTTGCTGGTTTCCCTGAAGCTGAAATGCCCATTTTAGGGATCTTGGATTTTGAGGCATCAGCTCTAGAAGCTGGCTGATCACCTTCAGTTGGGGACTGAAGCAGAGAATCGATTGTTTCTTTTGATTTCTCATCTTCCTCAGTCTTAACTTCTAGTGTTAGACTGAGGCCTATTTCAGCTTCAGCTGCTGATATCCTAGCCTCTTGCCTGACTTCTTCTAAGAGAGGCCCCTCTAAAGGCTGTTCACCTATCTGGAAAAAGGCAAAGCCGCCCCCCTCTTCTTCATAGCTCCTTTTAGTCATGTCAATAGCACCACTTCGAGTCATCTCAAAGAGCTTCCCTTCTTGAAACAGAAAAGGGTTGGGTTCACTGGTAGGAGTGCTCTCTTCTGTTGGTGTTCTACCAGGTGTTGTGTCTGGAGTTGCTTGTAGAGACTGACGGTCTACCACCAGATTCAGTATCTTCTGTTCCTCCTCTTTGACACGAGCTGCAAAAGTGGCATCATCTTCCTGCATAGCAGACCACGAGCTAGTGTCTACCTTTGCAGTGACACCTTTTGACTCAGTTCTGGGAGGTTCCAGTGCTTCATCATCCTCTTCTGTGTCATCATATATACAGACCTCTGGATTGAGCATTTCCTTTGTTTGTCCTGAGGCAATAGTTGAACCAAGTTCAGCCTCTGGTGCTCCTGTATGCTCCCTGTGATCTCCTTTCACCTCATCTGTTACATTGCTCCCTGGTTTTAGCATACTCGTCTGTAGCCTGCTAACACCTGACTCTTGATAATCCTTAGAATCTACTTTATTTTCCCTTGACTTCGTTAAGCTCTCCTCCTTTTGCTCATCAATCCTGTTTTCAGTATTTGGGGTTACAGCAGACATTTTGGCACTACTTTCTTTATCATTTTTTATGGATGGTAGGACTCTTTGTTCCTGTGCAGTTTCCAGTTTGGATTTTGAATGATGCTGGTCTGAGACTGAGTGAGGTTCCGCTGAAGTGACACTGGCTGCTGTTGTTGTGTTCTTGACCTCTTTGCTCTGGGATCCATCATGCAAACCTGCTGAAAAAGGAGAGGGAGGTTGTACTTTAATATGGGGATCAACAAAAAGAGCTAACTCTGAATCTTCTGTGGGTCTACCTAGCCCACATTCACTTTGCGAAAGCTTCTCACTTGGGTGCTCTAATGTTTCATAGCTGTCCACCCCTATTTTGACATCTGTTGGGGAAAACAAATATTTTCTAGAGTTCTTTTTGCTCTTCGCGTCTTGCTCCATTTCATCAAATGTTTTAATTTTGGCTGCCATCTTAAACATCTCGTCCTCTGGAGTGATTTTTGTCCTAGCTTCATGGCTGTTTGATGTATCCTCTTCTTCTGGGTCTTCAGGGATAACAGTCGGTTTAGATGGAGCAGAGAGGAATGTATGGTCAGGGGGTTTAGGGTTTACCTCATAACTTACCTCTTCAGAGCTAGGAGTGTCAGGGGAGAGGGGACTCTTACCAGAACTTGTCATCTGAGATGTCTGCTCACAACTGTCATCATCAGCACTAGCTTCATGGTCTCGAAGCAGCCTACCACGCAAAACATCTTGGGGAAACTCTGGACCTTTGGATGGCTCTGGATGGCTAAAGGATTTACTAGATGGATCTAGTTTTGATGGGAAGAAAGGGTGACTCCTTAGCTCTACAGGGCTGGTCTCTAAGGAGTCATGAGGAGGTGATTCCTTGGTTGGGCTAGGTTCAATAGAGTCTGGGGATTTATGGGAGGAATTTTCATCCATGAGAGGACTACCCTCTAAAGAGTCTCTGTGGCTTATTGTCACAGAATCATCACCTAATGGACTAAGGGCATCTGAGTCTTGTTTTAAAGGCAGCTCAAAGCTTTTTTGACACTGAGAAGAGCATCTAGAGACTGGAGAACCAACTAAAGACAATGTGAACTGATGACCTGGGCTTTCATCATCACCAAGAAAAGTTTCTATGGTCTCTGAAATTCTCTTTGTAAGCATTTGAGGTTTAGATGGCTTAGACTCAGTCCTCTTAAAACATATGAACTCACTTGGAGTGCGGTCATCTGCAGCCTCACTGGAAGTGAGGGGGAGGGTCAGTTCTGTAGACAGATGGTCACCAGTGGCCCCTAACCCAGAGTCTCCAGACTTCTCAGTGTCTTTACTTTCTTTTTTGACTGTTGTGGTAATTGGTGATGAAGTCGTAGAGGTTTGCTGTCCAGTTTTTGGAGAAAGACACATATTTTCAGGACTTGAGCCTGGAGTGGCTAGACCCTCATGTTTACAACTGTCCTCAGAGCTCAGATGAGGGGTTCCATCTCCAGAACTGGCACTTAGTGATTCTGCCACACCCTCATGTTTTAAGCTGTCAGAGCTATCATCAAGGCCACCATTTCCAAAGTCTACAGTTTCACTTAGCTCTGAATGGGCTGCAGCAAATGACTTGCTTTCTTTCTCTCTAGCTTGATGAGTGGTCTCTTTCTTGCGGGGTTTGGAATCCAGAGATACTTCTCGCTCTTGAGAAACACCTGGGGCTATTGCTTTGGTCATAGATTTTGACTTGATGATTTCTGATGTTGTGGTTTTCTCTAATCTTGATGTAGTGGATGTTTTGAGCTCAAATAGCCCAGACTTTCTCTTTGAGGGGTCCTGCCCCGTTTGGAATGCTTGCATCAGCTCTTTAACTGACATGGTCTCCTCAAGTTTCTCTGATTCAGCTTTAGGGGATTTAGGGGGGTGCTGTTTGGATTTAGGGCTTTCTTTGGCTTTTGGAGATGGTTTGCTCATAACAGGCAATTGTGAAGCCTTGTAACCAGTGACCTTTTTGCTCTTTTGCTCTGCCTCTACTTTCTGTTGTAGAGCTTTGACTTTGTCTTTTATTGACCCAATGGGAGTTTCTTCAACCACTGGGGATACAGGTGATGCAGGGCCAGGGGCTGTAGGAACACTTAGAAGACCGCCTGCTGCTGTTGATTCTTCTGCCTGCCCTTGGTCTTTTCCCTTTCTTCTGACTGGCTTTTTAACATCACCAGCAGCAGTTTTATCATGCACTTTGGTTGGAGTGGTTGGTTTTGCACTTTTGCGCAGTACAACATCAGTGAATCTTTCTTGGATTGCGGGCTCTTTTTTAGCTTTTACTTTGGAGCTGACTGGTGCATCCAGCAAGTATTCTTTAAGGTCACCACTGTCCTTAATGGCTTTAGGTCTGGGAGCCCCTCTGTTAGCTCTACTTTCACGTAAGACAGGCTCTTGAATTTCTAAGGCTGTCATTTTTTTGGCCTCTTCTATCTCAGTGTCTGAGAGAAGAACCCACTCCTCATCCATTCTAGCTACTTTTGCTGCCTCCTCTACTGCTTCACCATCATATGTTCCACTCCTCAGTATCTCACTGACTTTCTCTAGGTCCTCTTTGACCTTCTCTAAGTCCTTCTCCATTATTTCTAATGGTTCTCCAGAAACTTCCTCAGTCCCTTTCTCTAGGCCACACCCTCCTAAGGAAGGGGACTTCTCTGTGGAGTCTGCAGTCAAGATGGCAGTCATTTTGATCAAATCTTGTTTCATCTCCGACACGTCCAACAGGAGGTCTGGTTCTCGAATCAGCTCTGATTTGAGGACTGATGTCTCCGTTTCTTCATCTTCCATTTGGAAGAAGAACAAGTAAGGAGTAAAGAAAATCAAAATTTCAAATGAAAGGAGACAGACATTGAGAGAATATGGTCAGGACAAAATTGGAGCACACTGCAGGGATCATAGGACAACAAATTCACAAAGGATTCTACATCAGGGTATCAGAGGAATTGGGCTTATACCTCCATATGTCTCTGAAGAACTGTGGTAAAGCAAAGGCTAAATCAGACCAATGGGAAAGGATATAAGCAGGAAATAACTTGCTTATACACTCATCTCTCTCTCTCTCACACACACACACACACACACACACACACACACAAACGGAACAAAACCAAAATGATAAAAAAAAAAAAATACTACAAATAAGACCAGTTAACCAAACCAACAAGTACAATGAAAAAAGGACAACAAAGGAAACAAAGAATCAACAAGACATCTCAAGATTGCTCAGAACTATACCAAATGTCAATGTGATGACAGTCAAAAATGGCGAAAAAATCAGAATGCCAGTTGCATCTATCAAAGAAAGCCAGTGATAACTTGTATAAAACAGGATGATTTGCCATGCTTTTCATTCTAGTATAGAACACCATCATTTACTTCTCCTTTTTCCTTACACAGAATCTAAGGAAGGAGGAGGATCTTATTAGGAATAACATAACACACAACATAAAAGATACAAAACAGTGCACACAACTATCAACAAATATTGTTGTGAGGGGGCATTCTAAAGTCAAAGCATACAAACAAAAGAACAAATGACAGACATTACATGTAATCATCCAGACATACAAACGCACGCATACACATTTATGTAAGCCAAGTTATTTCCATGCAGGGAGGAAGTGGTTATGGAAAGGTCTTGGTGAAGAGAGAATGGAGCGAGTTAAAAGTTTAATGTATTGATTAAAAATGTGCAGTTAACAGGTGCTGCATGTTAATAACATGTTCCCATTCAATAATGTGGTGGGTTCTTTGTCAGGTTATTGCCAATACATATCTGTATCATCTGGATTAAACATACGTATTCTTTTCAAGGTATTCTGAAAACTAATAATGTACATGGAGTTGTAATTAATATATCATCCATGTAGGTTCAGTATGTTTCATGTATAACATGGTTTTATTAATAGCATTATTTAAATACTAAAGTACATTGTTTTTGTCTGTTTCTATTTGTCATTGTCAAAATACTATGAACAAGGCAAGGAGGTTAGAAGGAGCAGGCTTCAGTGTGGGTGAGAACCTTTTGCTTTGCCATTACACTGTGGGACTACAGCTGGAAGAATACTTATATTCTGGCCTCTAATTTCCTGGAACTATGTGCTAGAGTTTCAAAAACTCATGCGTGCCAGTAACTACATTTTGGAATTTAGGCGACCAGAGGTGGTAGCAAAACCCAGGCCCAGCATGGCACAAACTGAGGAGGAGGATGGCAGAATCAGCAGGTGGAGTCCAGGTGTGCTTCTGTGATAAAATATCACATTAGCACCTCTCATCTCCTTTAAAAGCTGCCCTTGTTCCTTTCCTACTGCTTATCTGTATACGTATAATAACTGTAGAAATGCAAGTAACTGAAAGGTGTTCATCCATCCAAACAAAAAGTTGTGAAAGACATTTTCGGTAGTAGTCCATCATTGATCTAACCTGTACTGAGTCTGCTTTAATGTCATTAAAAGTAGCATTTTGACGTTTGCCCATTTATACCAAAACTGGCCAAATTGCAATGTGCCACCTGAGCTATTTGTACAACCCCAGTTGCAAGAATTCACAAAATAAAAGTGGCATTGTGACACTGCTGGCTTTTATGACAACACAAAATTAGAGGCCATTGTTACATAAACATCACAACAGTATGAATGAGTTTAATTTTATGTAAATGGCAGCATTTAACACTTTCTCCATACGTCCAATCTCAAATTGTGAAGGAGAAAGAGTTAAACTGAAGACACTGAGCCAGGTGTGAAATCCGAAAAAGAGCAAAGTAAAACATGAATATAAACCTCAGGAGAAACATAACACAGACATGACAAGGTGCAGGTAAAGCCTTTTTGTTTGAGACAAAACAAAAATACATGAAGTTTAAAGGGTTTTGAAAAGATGTACAGTATATGTACAATTAAGTTTAAAGGTGAAGCTGGGTGTGTCAGTGTTTTAATCTGATTATTCCACTGCACACTATTATTATTATATTATTCATTATTACAAAATAGTAACTATTTAGTTGTTAATAGTAGAAGTTAGTGCCAAAATTAAATAGGAAAAACATGTCTTACATTTCTCTAGCGTTCTGCTGGTCTGGAAAAAAATGGAAAACGAATCACAGTTAGTTTTGTATCATCCCTTGTATTTACCAAATAATGCAATAATTAATAATATAAAAATGCTACATTATAATTGCTACATTAGGAAAAAGAACACAAAGCATAAATATATCGGCAGTAAAAATGAACTATGCCGCTGACAATTCACAATCTAATCAATTACAGTAAACAAAATATAAAATGTCTAAAATCAGATTGTTTGTGTGCATGTCCAGTACTCAATCCTGATACAAGACAGTGGACAGGATAGGTCAGCAGAGCTAGTTAGTAGAAGATGGAGGGGAAGCGGTGGCTGCTTTTACCTCTTCCTCTTGGTCTGAATCGGACTCCTTTTGGGAGCAAGAAGCAGCAAGATGTACAGATAGAAACAACAGCAACATTAATGGCAGAAAAATGACAGGGGGAGATGTATGGTTACAACAGCAACCAAGACAACCAGTCAGTGTGATTTCCAATGTGGTCTTTAAGGCTGCATTTGACAATGATTTTAAATATAATAATAAAATAATTAATAACCTATTTGCCCGAGTCATAATTCTTTTCTTGACCTTTCAAACAAGACATCACATCGCATGAATTTGAAAATTTATATCACGTTGCCTCATACAGCCTTGAAGTTGGCTCAATGGGTGCAAAGTTAATTTTCACATTACAGACGCAACCAACACTTTAAAGCAATAATGCTGGCTGCTCAAAGCATCATTGCAGTTTGGTATTGGGTATGTCAAACATTCATATTAAAAAGAATAATTTATACTTGGGAATCTTTATCTTGAATACAAAAATAATTTGCATATATAAAAAAAACAGGCTAAAGATTACAGCTTCAAGCAACTACAGCAAACAATTACAGTGCTTTTCAGGTTAAATTGCAGCTTCCAACAGCCAGTTTTACTTACAAAAACTAACAAGATGCAGTATAGAAGCATTCTCTGCTATTGGGCCAAATGACAGTGTAGTGTCCTCACCTTGCAATATGATGGGAGGGTGATGTTGAGGTTGCATATGGCATTTTGGGTAAGTGACCTGTAGTTCCTGGGTTCTTTCATAAAGGACAAACGGCCACACGGCTCCTGAGTGTTGTCTCTAATCTACAAAAGCGGAACAGTTCAGTATTAGCCAGTGGTGAACTGGTTTTATGGGCACTTGCTACACTTATATAAAGGAGCATTATGTTTGTTTCTGTGTGAAATACACAAAAACAAATGGTGCTAACTTTGATGAAGAGTGCTAGTCTGTTCTCCTTAAAGGCAAAGAAGCTGAAGAGATGATGCTGGCCACTTTTGGTGAGGGGAACAAGGTTTCCAAAGCAGTCTGCATAGATAGGTTTGCCTTCTAGGACCTGAGAGAGAAAAATAACATACTGTAGATGAGTACAAGGGCTAAAACATAACAAAACCGCTCAATGGTTTAAACAGCAGTATATCCCTTCTCACCTCCAGGCAATAGTCCAGCCATTTCTCAAGAAGCCTACAGTTCAGTTATCCAATCATGGTTCTTTCAACTGAGGAGCATTGCAAAAATCTGGTCTTTTTTGTCAGGTTGCTCTCCAGATGGTTAGTCATGTTTTTATATCACCATATCTACATTACTGCAATTCACTGTATTCAGGGTAAATCTGAAAACAACCTCACACGTTTAAGGTGGTACAAAATGCAGCTGGTAGGCTTTTAAACTAAGCTACATGTAGACATTTACAAGTTGTGGCCATTTCTCCAAGGCCTTCTCCAGTTGGTCAAAGTATCAGCTGCGGTCAGTGAGACATTTCTCCTCTGCTCTGTCTCCTCACCTCTACATCTCGGCTGCGGGCCACCTCAGTGAAGTTCTCCTGCTGCTCCAGTGTTTTATCAATCTTGTCATCAGTCATGCAGAAGCAGCGTAGGCGAGCCTCAATGGGGTCGTGGGTCTTGGCAAAGATGACAAACTTGGCCATGTAAGGGACACAGATGATCTCCCGGTACACCTGAGTGGAGAAGTTGACAGATTCCTGGATTTGCCGACAGTCTATGAGCCAGAACCTAGAAATCAGAAGGTGTGAAAGATACCTGGTTAGATGATTGTTGGCCGAGTCACTTTAAATCAGAAATAAATACACAGTAAGGGGAATATTTACTAAGCCTGTCACAAATTTCCTTCAGGTTTGGAAAATACTGTGGCACTGCAGTTTTTCAATTTAGCAGCGCATTTACCAAAAGTGATGATGTAAACGAGCACAGCCACAGCTGTGTTAATTTGAAAACACCCGCATTTTAGATCTGATGCCTGAAGGCTGTTGTGGATGTGTGGACCAACAGGAAGCATAGAAGAAAGTCCAAGTTTACAGCAGCCACCAACAGGAAGCGTAGAAGAAAGTCCAAGTTTACAGCAGCCAAACCTTAATATGGTTGAAGAAATCAAATGTATCTCAGAACTGCAGTCGTGTAGTCTCCTTCCAGCCAGATCATCTATTATTTCATTCAGTAACTGAAGCTTGATGTGACCTGGAAGCCTGTACAAGTCCCTCACATTGTCCTGTGGTGAGAGATGCGATATACAAACACCCTCTCCCTCCTCAAAAATGTTCTTAACTCTGAAAAGATGTCAGATGAGTAAAAGCTGTCATGCTGACAGCAGTGCTGCTAATTTTACACCTTTTTCTCCTGACTCTAAATTTCAGCCACAGTTCCCTCTGTCGCAGCTGTGGTAAAGTAGGCGCCGAGGGTATCTGTACAAATTTCCATTCTCTCCTCTCTGATTTTTGCGTCCCGGAACGGGAACACCTTGAAATGCATATTACATGTGACCAAATTCATAAATTCCCGTGGTGCTGCTGTTCTTCTGTTTCTCCACCACAAAACCCCACTGCCGCTCTAAGTAAATATGAACATGTGCAGTTTTACTGGTTAGCTCTAGAAAGTGAGCCACAAAAACAAAACTAAATATCACCCTAAATGTGTTTCAGCACGTCTTTATGTCTTACCGAGCAGACACATTGGTGGTAAAGGAGACACAGTCATTGACAAATGTTAACGGAGTGGTTCCTGTTATATCCTCCCACTGGGCTGGAGTTGTTCCACCTGCATGTGGACACAAACACAAAACTCGCATGTTAGAATGTGAGCATAAGTCTTTGATTGGCCTTTTCACATACTCATGTGTGTTCTCTAACCAGTGATACTACAGAGCAGTCGTAAGGTTGGGGTGTCCCCTCCAAAACCGTTGTGGACTGGGTCGGAGTTGCTCTTGGGGACAGGGATGGTCATGGTGATGGGTTTATGGAACTTCCTCCTGCGGGGTTCCAGGGTGACGATAGGGCTGAAGGTGGCCTTGTTTCCTAGAATTTTCCTCACTACATCTACACACACTGGCTGGGCCTGGGAGAGTGGAGAGCACATACAACAACCTTATGTTTTGCTACTAGTAAATCCTGCAGAGGCTTACTGTCCTGAGTGAAACCATGCATATCTTGCCCACATTCATACACATAGTACAGGACTGCCCCAAAGTTCCTTCCATCAGGAAACACTATGGACCATCATTCTTGAGAAAAAGTATCTTCTAAAGTCCTAAGTCCATCTCCTAAATCAGTTTCCATGCAGTGTTTCCCACAGAATTACATTTTAATTCTGGTGGTAACTTGGGACTGGGGTGGGGGGTATCATGCTTTCAGATTTTTTTTTTAACTAAATATAGTAAAATGCTATAGTGCTATTCATCTGACCTGTCCCTTCTGCACTGGCTCTCCCACAGCAGTATGTTGGCTGCTGCCCTCCTCCTACAGCTCTCTCTTCCTGACCCTCTCCTGCTGATTCAACAGCACTGGCTGTAACCAATAAATACTTGAAAGAAATCAGTTGGATCACTAAATCACACTGATCAGACTGACAGTGTTATGTTACAAAAGCAAACACGGAGAGGAGGAGCTGTACATGACAGTTATGTTACAAAAACAAACACGGAGAGGAGGAGCTGTTCGCAGACAGTCCGTTGTCAAGGTTGTAATGTGTGTGTGATAAAGAAACAGAGCGTTGCATGAATATACAGTATTGTTCAAAATAATAGCAGTACAATGGTCATGTTGGCTTATGCTGAAGAGGACATGCCCTTGAAATGGTTGTTTCAACAAGACAATGACCCCAAACACACTAGTAAACGAGCAAAGTCTTGGTTCCAAACCAACAAAATTAATGTTATGGAGTGGCCAGCCCAATCCCCGGACCTTAATCCAATCGAGAACTTGTGGGGTGATATCAAAAATGCTGTTTCTGAAGCAAAACCAAGAAATGTAAATGAATTGTGGAATGTTGTTAAAGAATCATGGAGTGGAATAACAGCTGAAAGGTGCCACAAGTTGGTTGACTCCATGCCACACAGATGTGAAGCAGTTATAAAAAACTGTGGTCATACAACTAAATATTAGTTTAGTGATTCACAGGATTGCTAAATCCTAGAAACAAAAACATTTGTACAACATAGTTTTGTGTTTGTACAGTCAACGGCAGACACTGCTATTTTTTTTTAACACACCCCTTTCAACTAATTGCCCAGTTGCACAGCCTTAAGAGCGTGCATATCATGAATGCTGGGTCTTGTTTGCTTTCTGAGAATCTACTGCACCTACTGGTAACTTGTTTGCCATGTAGCAATAAAAAAATATACTAAAAACCTGGATTATTCTGGTTAGTCACATTGTACTGCTATTATTTTGAACAATACTGTATGTGCTACACACAGCACTACACTGAAACAAGATTTAACTTATTTTAAATCGATATGTGACAGTTAATGTTGATATTGTTGTGGCCCACCACAAATAAATCTCTGTATAAGAAACACTGGGATGATGAAGTTGGTGTGTCGGCCACTTTCATGACAAGGGAAATATCTCAACAATTATTGGTGGGTTGCTATGAAGCTTTATGAAGGTTTCATGATCCACATTAGACAAATCCTCTGACATTTCATCAAGGGCCCAAATTGAGACTGACATTTTTAGTCAAGAGTGAAATGTATTTATTGAAACTGGCTCAGAATACAAAAAAAAAAAAACCATAACCAACCTGATAAACTGATGAATAGTATACAGTGATGCTTTTGTCAATTACCTGCAGTCCGACCCTGATCCTTTTGGTTAGGGCCCCCTCAGGAAAAACTGCCTGCACTTGGGGCACAACAGTGCTGCTCAGAATACCTCCCTCAGGACCAATCAGATTACTGTCTTGCTTGATGCGTGACACCACTGCAAAGTATTGTGGAAAATCTCTGGTGATGATGCGGCAAATACGCTTCCTCTCCAGCTCCTCAGGTGTGTCTAGTTCTGGAAAATGGAAGCAAAGTACAAGTTCCAGGACATTATTATTAGGATGTTTTTTTTGTTTGTTTGTTTTTGCCAGAACATTATTATTAGGATGTTTTTTTGTTTGTTTTTTTTTTTTGCTCAGTTCATGGTGCAGTCTGCAGGTACACCATCAGAGACTGACCCTCATCCATGCCGTTGAGTATTTGGTTGAGTTCCTCCTGGGTGTGTTCACAGTGGTGTTCCTTCCAGCTTTCTCCTGTCTCACTCCTCAGGATCACCAGCTCTCTCTCCTTCCCCCGCAGGGCAGCAAAGTGGGGGATCTCCACAATCACAGGACTGGAGGGGTAAAAGGCAGGCAGTGTGAACCAGTGGGCACAGAATGTGATGGAAGGTAACAGTGTATGTTTAACTGCCTGTGGCAATCTGTGTGTAATAGGCAGGGTTGTCATATCTGAGTTTTGAAACATCTTCAATCTTGGTCTAATTGACTTGGACTTGGTCAAGACTTATTCAGTGTCACCTTAAGATTTTCTCATCTTTCCAAAAACATATTTTACTGTATATTTGTGTTTCCATCAGTACTGCAAACAATAATCAGGAATGTAACCATAGCGCTCTGAAGTCTGGATGTCGATACCTTCATCATGCCACCTATAGTAGATATAAGAAATCTGAGAAAGGAGTCTGACACCCAGTAGTTATCTTCTTTTCATCTTCTTGCCCCTTTGCTAATTTTTTATACACAAACACTACTAGTTTCTTTGAACTTAATTAAAACATGTCTATGCTGAAAATGACACTGTACAGCAAAACACCAGGATTCCATGTTCAACACAGGGCACAAGCTAAAAATGCAAAACCAAATTGTGCTGCATTTCAGTGTCATTAATCCAGCAATACACTGCTTTAGCAAATCTCTCAGTGCACAAGTTAGATGGATTAAAGCAACAATACACAACTGGCAGTGTGTCTCCTCCCTGCAGTGGCTGAGTGTAATTGAGTTGTACGCAACACCTGGAATACTAGTTGCGCTTTCACCCCTCCTCATGGAAAGCAGTACATGTGCATTTGTTTATAAGCCAAAGCCATTCCTGACCACTGAGAGAAAAGCAACGAATGCTAAAGTATTATTGGGTTTTACACAAATATGAATGAATGACTCTGCATTGTTTTAGTTATTGTGACACTGAAGATGAACACATAACTAAAAGAATAACAAATAATGGCACTTGGGCGCGTGCTTTAGTCCATGCCCTGTTGCACATCTTGTTCACAGTACATGATTGTCGTAAGTTAGGAAGATCGAACTTTAAGGTCCAAACTCCCGAGGACGGGAGGACACCCGTCTCCCATCGTGCAAGTGCTACACCAGCATCCTAACTGGCAGCTTATTACTACTCTGCTCTGGCCAAGATGCAACTGCGTCCTCACAGCTCCAAAAATATCAGAGCAAATTTCCAAATTGCCATTACCTGGATAGATTGAACACATATTCAGTCTAAGTGGTTACTTCCTTGCCTGAAAAAATTTCAGAACCGAATAAAGGCCCATGGATTTGTCTCTGCATGTGCATGAATACTGAGCTGGTGGAAGGGTCTGATGCTGAAAAGCACCAGCAGTTCTCACAAGAGGTCTCTGGGATGGTGTTCCAAAGTTACGTAGTGCAGTAACAGATGATTTGGGCACGCAGTGACAATGGCGGTGATGCCATTCACCTTATTAGAAGTCAAATCTACCATCAAAATGACTTTGAAGCTGTTTAATATAAAAAGAAGTTATGAAGTTGTGTATTTTTGCTTTAATTAGCAGTATGTATCTTGTAGAATTGTACTGATTCTAGTGTATACCTTGTCAGCAAACGAGGCAACTTTCCAGATGTTTAAGCATCTTACTTTGGTAAATCACCATGTGTTAAAAAGAGATGAATTCCAAAAAGGTCACCTAGTGAGTTATGAACAGCAGTGTTCGTAGCCAAGGTGTAACAAACGTACCAGTGGACAGCAGAGATGAAGAATATTCTGCTGGAGTGATTTGAAATGTTTGTGTTTTTATATTTTTGTTCTGTTGTGAAACACTTTGTCAGTATTGTCTCAATCTCTGTCTAGGAGGAAATAGTTCTGTGTATTGTCTGCATTAAAAAGTTTTAAAGTATCACTTCACCTTAATACTTACCTGACGTGCACGGTCACAACAAACTAGTTACAACACATCTTTAAGAAGCATGCACATTACATACTATCCAACATGGGACAAACAACTATTAAAGCAGAATTTTTTTCATGTGACATTCAGATGGTTCTTTGGCCTGACAGTGCATTTTTGATATTAAACACTACATTGTCAAATTGTTATTTTAAAGCGAGCACTTGCAAGCTGGCAGAATAAGTTTCAGTACACACAGTTTACAAAATGTGGAGTCGTTCTTATAGTTTTATTTTGCCTCAGAAAGAAGGGAAAAAAACTGTAGAACACCCAACAAGGTAAGCTATATAATTGGCTTTTAAAGTAGATATATCCATCTAATAGATAAAATGGACAGAAATTGTGAGTTTGCAAGACTTGTATTCCCAGTGGATGATTAACACGTAGATACGCCACCATTTTAGGGAATTAGCCTTAGTCAACATTTCGGAGCCAACTACCAAACCACACTATGCAGGAATATTTCACATGGTTACCCAACTACCCGTAGGCCACACAACCATTTGAAATTTCACACGAAAATGGGAAAAAAACAACTTCTACACACATTTATCAAGAACGAAAGAAGAGTGGAAACGTATACACAAAAATGGAAAAGACTAAGCATAAAACAGGATTAAAGAAAAGAAGAAACAGCAAAGTAATGTCATAGCAAAGTTACATCTAAAAGAGTAGCAAGTACCAGAGGAGGTGCAGGCACAAAACACTAGTGCAAGCAAGACAACACAACAATGTATAGAGAAAATAACATCTGATGGAAAGGTGTGTAAAGAAAACCACTGAGACCAGCATCCATGGATTGTTTCATATGGAAAACCTTAGATTTTAATCTGCCCTACCCAAGGAATTTTGTCCCCGGCGGGCCGAGCTGAAGGATTCTGCTAACCAAACTCTCTCCCTCATTAAGAGGTGGAGGGGCACTGGGGAGATGAAGTTTACTGTGTGATCAACCAAGCGTCCATACGCAGCAGTGAGGAAGAAAGAGCACACACAATATTTTGGTTGGGTACAAAACAAACCCAGGGGACTGATGTGCAATACTTGAGTGACATAACTAACAATCTGTAGCTGTAATTTTATGGAGATAAATGTGTTCACAACAAAAAAGTCAAAATGAAGACATAAAATAAGTAATCATGAACGAACAAACAATTCTATCGTTTAAGTCCAGCAAAGCCCATTTTTATTTCCTTTCAGAATTTTCATTTCAAATGTGCATTTCCAAAGTCTATTTTTACTTCCTATCAGTATTTTTCAAATGGCCGTTGTATTTCATAATGTCTCTTTTCAACACTTTATCAACCAATACAAACAAAACAAAGACAGCTGTGATTAGCTGTTTCTTTTTTCAGACCATTATTGTGAAAGGCAGCAGAAATTAAATTTTATAATAAGCAGATTTTTGTGGACATTGAAAATAATATATAGACATTTTAAAATTTCACAACTGTATATTTTGCCAGCATTTTTCATTCATGATAGAAAGTCTTATTAACTACATTCATTTTGAGCACATATGATTTCCATATATGTGGATGTTGAAGGCCAGAAAAAAAAAAAAAGTTTTGCTGTTGCAAATATTCTGTTCAGATGTTAACACTTTCATGCTAAACAACGAACAAAAAAGGGCCGACCATCTCAAGGGAAGGTGAACAATGTTTTTGAACTTCAGAGTTTATGGATAGCAGAGTTAAATCCGCAGAGATACTGTGTGATGTGGACATAATAAGAACATATCTCATTCATTATGGTTGGGGACAAGTTACGGCAATATAAATGTCTTTACACCATCTCAAACTTTCCCAGCAGAGGGTGGGATTTGAGGCCACATATCAAACAAATCATGGTGCAATATAGTGGAAGTGGAATTAATTAGAAAGGCTGTTCCATTACAGGTTAGGAATAAGATTGAAAAGAGTTAGACTGCAGCTGTTATGAACAAAACAGGACATGCTCAAGTGCCAGGGTGAACAGATCCTTAGTGCTGGGGGAAAGCAAGAGCAGAGTCACAATCATTTTTAGTAAGGCAAAGCCAGGGGGAAATTAATCTGAAAGGAAAAGGGCTGCAAGTTCTTCTCATCAAATGGGATACAAATCAGTGTCAGTAGCCTGGATGTACTGGAGAGGTAGTGGTACCTCAACTTCTTGTCTGACTAAAGATTTTTCTTACACTAGAGATGCATCTTCAACAGATACTAAAAGCTTTACTATTTAATTTTTCCATTTAACTTCAATGGTTATTAACATAAAATATCCAAAACAATGAAAATGTATGAAAAGCGTAGAAGCTGGCACACAAATGTTTTAAAACTACTACCTGGTATGAAATGATACTACTTCTTCATGTAGTATCACTATACTTACCTGCCAGTGTCTGCAGCTTGATGCTGTTTTTTGCTACCTCTCAATTTTCATTCTTTTTCAGTCCTCTACATTTACAAGCCTTCAAGACATTCAATCATTCCATCATAGTTGTAGTCTTACCCAAGGAACTGGGCCCCCGAGGGCCCCACCTCAACAAGTCTGCTGGCCAGGCCCTCACCCTCAACCATTGGAGGCATGGTGGCCAGACGGTGCCTCTTCACCAGTCGGCACGTGACCCGTGTGGGTGCGCTGCACTTCCTGGGTGGGATGATGATGCGCAGGCCATTATGCCGGCAACCACGCATGGCGCCACCCCTGGCGTCCACCATGAAGCTGACCAGGAAGCTGGGGTGGAACAGGAGATTTTTCCCCAAATTAAAGCCATACATCATTATAGCCATTAAATGATGAGAACAGAGACACCAAAGCTACTTCACAGATTGATGACCAAAGTGCTAACCTCAAAAGCAGAAAATTTAGTACTGAAGTGGTTATTAAGCTAAAATGATATACACAATATTCTTAATGTGAACATTGTGATGTAGAGTAGATTTATGTTTTAAACTTAAAGAATTAAATGGTTGATTTTGAAAGCTTGCTTTTGGTTCTAGAAACAGCTTTTGACCACATAATCTTCATTACCAAACATCTGAGTGGAGATTTTGTCAACTACCGTTTCTAAGGCCTAAGAATGTGAGACTCAGCTTCGAAGCCAACAGGGATGAAAAAGTCTGTTTGGTATACTGAAAAAAAATTTATCAATTATAGTTACATGACAACACTGAAAATTAATTTACTAACAAAGACACAGTTGAAAGCTCCAAAAATGGCCAGTGGATGGACCCTGAGTGGACATTGGTCAAAGGACGATGTTAAGTTACTGCATGGCAGATAAACCCGACATCAGGTGGCCACAAGTTAAAATTAGAGCATTATAGTGGATGCTAACAATATGTGCAACAGTACCAAAGAGTCATCAAGTCACTAAACGGACTCAGAAATGTCACTTAAACAACATCCACTTATTAAAGTCACTTAGCATTAGCTAACATCAGACTCCATAAGATACTGGCCATACCAGACTAAGACTGAAGCAGCAAGACAGCTGAGAGCATGTTTTATTGCTGTGACCTCTATTTTCCATTTGTATTTTCAAATATTAAAGAGCTGCCCTGCTTTTATTTATATACTATTTATTAAACCTTCATAAACCCACAAGATAAAAGCTTGACTTTTTGTTGCCTTTACTACTGTGCAGAGAGGAATGGGGGTAGGTACATTTTAAAGGCTTTGGTGTCTGTTTTCTCAGCACTAAATGGACAAGTTGATCAACAGTGACAAGTCTTATCAAACAGGTTACATTTTTGCAGTTCAGTGTGAGACTGACATCACTCCCCATGCAAAGAAGCAAATATATGCAAACGGATCACACATCTGAATGAGGGGGAGTATGGGTGTGATGAGGATACACTATAATACCATACCAAATTCTGTGTAGTGGCATCAGTAAAGCAAACACAACATTGGTTAAAATACACAAAAGTGTAAAACAACTTGTTGCTGAATTCAGTGACAGGACCAGTAAAACTGTTAGAAGACAGACTGTTGTTCTCTACTGATGTGGTTTTTCTAAGCTAATAAATAGGCCAAGAAATAAAATAAACTTCTTTGATTGACAGACAGTATATACTGTATATTAGACCATGTTTAATCCAAGGTGACTGTCCTAGATTTGCCAAAATAATAATAATATGAATATGCTAACGCATTCTTCGGACTAAAATAGACCTTTGGTAGGTATGTTAGTGGAAATGCACAATTCACAAGACATTGTGTGAAATTAACAAATGTCCTCAACTTTCACAACCTCTTGACATCTCATGTGTTATCATGAGCTGTGTTTCCCCCAGATACACACAATTTATGTCATACTATATATAAAGACATACTGTGGCCTGATGAGCCCAGTTAAGGTAGTGTTGGTTAAGGACGGTAACATACACAAACACCTCTCCACCAGGAGAGCACACTGTAAGGGGGAGGAGGAGAATGATAAAGATGAGGAAGAGAATTATAAAACCAAGGTGCAGAAGGTCACCTGCTGTGGTCTCCATGATCATGGCACGGAGAGGAATGGCTAAACACAACAACCACATCAGACAGAAAGGAATGAAAAGTCAACCAGAGACAAACCAGAGAAGAAAAACAAAGCAGACAAGAGACAGCCAGAGGCAACTTGTGACTTAGCTTTTGTAACCACTATCTGATTCATTCGACCGACATAATGTGGTTAGTCTAACTTTGCATAAAAACCGGAACCCACACCTTTAGGTGTACCTTGTTTCCCTTTTTTAACCTGTACACAAACAGGTCATTTGTGGTTTAAGGCAGAGTTCAGTGCTGGAACTATTTCTTGATAATAACAATTCATGCATTTGACCAGTACTCCTATGTTTCTGGCTACAGGGTAGGTTGCTTTATGCTGTGAGCTAGGCTAACCACATGCTGACTCCAGCTCTGTAGTAATCACAAAGACATGAGACTAATACTGATCTTCTCACTTGATTCTTGCTTTAAAAAAGGGCAAATAATAATATTTCTCAAACTGTTGTAGTTGTTCCTGAATAGGCTATATATTTTTGGGTTCACTGTAATGAAAAAGAATTTTTTAAAATATATACAGTGCCTTGCGAAAGTATTCGGCCCCCTTGAACTTTGCGACCTTTTGCCACATTTCAGGCTTCAAACATAAAGATATAAAACTGTAATTTTTTGTGAAGAATCAACAACAAGTGGGACACAATCATGAAGTGGAACGAAATTTATTGGATATGTCAAACTTTTTTAACAAATAAAAAACTGAAAAATTGGGCGTGCAAAATTATTCAACCCCCTTAAGTTAATACGTTGTAGCGCCACCTTTTGCTGCGATTACAGCTGTAAATCGCTTGGGGTATGTCTCTATCAGTTTTGCACATCGAGAGACTGAAATTTTTGCCCATGCCTCCTTGCAAAACAGCTCGAGCTCAGTGAGGTTGGATGGAGAGCATTTGTGAACAGCAGTTTTCAGTTCTTTCCACAGATTCTCGATTGGATTCAGGTCTGGACTTTGACTTGGCCATTCTAACACCTGGATATGTTTATTTGTGAACCATTCCATTGTAGATTTTGCTTTATGTTTTGGATCATTGTCTTGTTGGAAGACAAATCTCCGTCCCAGTCTCAGGTCTTTTGCAGACTCCATCAGGTTTCCTTCCAGAATGGTCCTGTATTTGGCTCCATCCATCTTCCCATCAATTTGAACCATCTTCCCTGTCCTGCTCTGGTCAGATGAAACCAAAATCGAACTTTTTGGCAACAATGCAAAACGTTATGTTTGGCGTAAAAGCAACACAGCTCATCACCTTGAACACACCATCCCCACTGTCAAACATGGTGGTGGCAGCATCGTGGTTTGGGCCTGCTTTTCTTCAGCAGGGGCAGGGAAGATGGTTAAAATTGATGGGAAGATGGATGGAGCCAAATACAGGACCATTCTGGAAGGAAACCTGATGGAGTCTGCAAAAGACCTGAGACTGGGACGGAGATTTGTCTTCCAACAAGACAATGATCCAAAACATAAAGCAAAATCTACAATGGAATGGTTCACAAATAAACATATCCAGGTGTTAGAATGGCCAAGTCAAAGTCCAGACCTGAATCCAATCGAGAATCTGTGGAAAGAACTGAAAACTGCTGTTCACAAATGCTCTCCATCCAACCTCACTGAGCTTGAGCTGTTTTGCAAGGAGGAATGGGCAAAAATTTCCGTCTCTCGATGTGCAAAACTGATAGAGACATACCCCAAGCGACTTACAGCTGTAATCGGAGCAAAAGGTGGCGCTACAAAGTATTAACTTAAGGGGGCTGAATAATTTTGCACGGCCAATTTTTCAGTTTTTTATTTGTTAAAAAAGTTTGACATATCCAATAAATTTCGTTCCACTTCATGATTGTGTCCCACTTGTTGTTGATTCTTCACAAAAAATTACAGTTTTATATCTTTATGTTTGAAGCCTGAAATGTGGCAAAAGGTCGCAAAGTTCAAGGGGGCCGAATACTTTCGCAAGGCACTGTATGTACGATATTTTTACACAGTATTTTATGAGCCACAAACAGAAATACAAAGAGAGACTTTGATTCTCATCACAAGTAAAAACTTTTAAACCACTTTACACTAAGTCTGAACACTGTCTTTGTGATTCCTTCGCTTAATGCTAAAGGTGCTTAAAACCAAAAGACAATCACTGAATTTCAGGTGAATTAAGTCAAAATTATAAGACTCAGGACTTCATTACAAAGTAGAAATATGCAAATACAGTATCGTAACTAGAGAAGTACAATACAGTAGATATCAAACAGCCAAGCAAGTGAGGGAAAGCACTACACTACACTCCAAAACACTATAGGGAAATAACAGACAGTTGAAATGCTAATTTTCAAAGAACATTAATTAGCCAATTAATAAATACTATAATTACATGTAATTACCCACTTGAAACATAATAGCAGGTCTGCAAGGCCTTGACAAGAATGGCTTAATTGTTTATGCATATTCATAGCTCTACACAATGTGTTTGTACGTTGCACACGTATATATATTCAAACTGCTTGCATTTTTTCATCCTGTGTCCACATGGGTCAACATGTAAGAATGTAACATATTGATTATGTGGTTTCCCGGCTTTGCTACCTACCCGGAGTGGATGGGGCTGGAGGATAAAGCCACATTGTCCAAGTTCTCTGTTCCCCAGTTCAGTCTGTATGAATCCCTCTCATTCTCTCTGGCAAGTGATGAAACCTAGAACCAAACAAAGAACCTCTTACCATAGATAAAATGAGCATGCATTATATGTAGCAATACTAACTGAAGATAAGTACTTTAGAATTTCCTTGCCAAAAGGATGAAGATTCTCATTCATTGAGGTGATGTACTATGTTGTAGCTTGCTCAAGAAACTTCTAGACTTATTTCTCAGGTTTCTTCTACTTTTTTAGAGATGTACTAAAAACATAATTATACAGATTACTGGTATATTTGTGACTGACCAATACCACAACATAGATAGAACCCATTACAGAAAAAGTGTAGTAAGCAAAAGTACAAAATTAATGGCAACAAAGCATTAAAATGGTACTGATGCACCAACAGAAGCAGTACTGAAGGTTGTCAGAGTTAAGTATTAGCTTCTTCCGATAAAGTCACAAGAAAAAGTAGTGACACTGCAGTTTCCAGGTTTTCTGCATAAATTGGTCATAAAATGTGTAGAGATTTTCACCACAGTCACAAAAAACAGACAACATTCACACAGCCATGATCCTTCATGTCTTTATTGAACACATCCATTAAACATACAAAGTGACAGAAGAAAAAGTCATGGCAATACCAGGCTTCTGATGTCACTAAAAGTCAGATGAAGTCAGGTAAACCTGGAGCCTAGTTAATGAAAAGAAAATGAAGTTGTGGTTTGGAACTACCTTGATTTATAAAAACACTCAGACAGTGTCAGTGTGTTATTCACAAGCAGCATCAGCTGGTGTGAGCCAGGCCTCACAAAAACAAAAAATCTCAGAAGATCTACAATCAAGAGTTTTTGATTTGCATGTAGCTGGAACGGGTTACAGAGTCATCTCGAAGACTTTAGATACGCATCAGGCCACATTTTGAGATAGTGTCTATAAATGGAGACCATCTGGTGCTGTGGCTACTCTCCACAGAAGTGGGTGCCCAGCCAAGGTCATGCAGAATGCTCAGTGAGATAAAACAGAACCCTAGAGTAAGACTTGAAGGATTCATTGGAGTTGGTTAACATCTCTGTTCATGAATCAACCATATACAAAATATTGACCAGGCATGGTAGCCATGGCAGGACACCACAGAGGAAGCCACTGCTCTCCAAAAACAACACTGCAGCAGCCTGAAGTTTGCCAAAGACCACCTGGACCAGTCTACAACACTACTGGAAAAATGTCCTGTGGAAGTGGAATTGTTCAGGAAGAACACACAGCACTACATATGGTGTGAAAAGAGAACCGTGTACCAACATGAACACATCATCCTGACAGTGAAGTACAGCAGAGAGAGCATCATGATGTGGGGCAGCTTTGCTACCTCTGGACCTGGACCGCTTGCTGTTGTGGAGGGAAAATGAATTCCCACGTTTATCCAGGTATCCTACAGGATAATGTCAGGGTGGCTGTTGGCAAGCTGAAGCTCAGAACAGGCTGGGTGATGCAGCAGGACAATGAACATAAACGCTGAAGTAAATCTACTACAGAATGGCTTCGGAGACACAGAATCTGCCTTTTGGAGCGGCCCAGTCAGAGCCCAGTAAAGACATGACGGATCAGGACTGTTTGTGTTTTATCAGCTTAGAAATACTGTTTGTTGATATTTGTGACTTTGGTGAAGATCAGTTCACATTTCATGACCAATTTATGCAGAAAACCAGGAAACTGCAAACACTCATTACTTTTTCTTGTGACTGTAGACTATTGTTTGGTGGATTGTCTTTTATAGACTGATCATATATTTTGTCTTACTTTTTAAATGAACTAGCTGTCAAATACATGTAATGCAGTGAAAAGCACATCAAACTTGCACTAATGTACAGTACTTTAGTACTGAGACAAGCAGCATCATATCAGAGGTGTCATGGTGACTTTTAAAGCCTGGTCTGTATTTCACCTGTAACCATGTTCCTCATACTATACCTGGTGACTGGTGAGAATCTCCTCCATCATGCCTTCATGTTTAGGGGAGTAGTAGCTGTGGTGGGTGGGAGTGAAGGACCTGTCAGAACTGGAACAGAAAAGAAGAAAGCAGTGAAGCCGGTGGAGTAGCTCATGTGGTCATGGCAATAGCAGCAATCACAGCAGGCAGGGCAAGAAAACTAATGAGGACCAGAATACACTTTAAAATGCATTTTCATTTTCAGATATAAGAATAAATCTCCACAGGAAAAAAACGAATAACACTTAGTTGATGTGAACAAGTTACTTCCCTTCCCGGGATCTCAAGACGTTAATGAACGTGAATTAGGAAAAAAATCATGTAATTAAATGAGTGGATTCACTGCACACAAATTGAGTTCAAAGCTGGGTAATGTTGGAAAATGTTTAAATGTTGACACTAAGACAAAGACAACAGCTTTGATTCACATGTTTTCATTGCTAGCTTAACAGACAAATGTAACAAAGCTAATAAGAACATAGAAATACAGTATGATTTAAAGAAAGAAATATCAATAATCGTTTAAGGAGACATCCAGTTTTAAAAAGTAAGTAAACAAAAGTAAGTAAGGAAAAATATGTCAGCATCCAGCCCCAGTGATGAACTGGTTATGTCAGTAGTGCTGAAGATTTAAAAGGCCAAACATTTGGCCAGCATCAGCACATACCTTTGCATTCGACTATGGAGGCATGACAAGGGAGACAAATGATGAAGTATGAGCAGGAAAAGTTGCAAAACACACACACAAATACAGGCAGTTAGCTCGCAAGTTTACTTTCCACAAGAGGAAAGGTTTGTCAGTTCATAAGATACACACACTCCAATATTCATGACAAAGTTAGAACAACCATCCACATCAAATACAAAAACTAATTAGACAGGAACAGGGTCAAAAGATGAACTATGTCAAAACAGACACATAAACTAGGTCCCAGTTTATTTTAGAATGTTAGTTTAGAGTCGTATGCTGAAACACCAAAAGCACGTGCTCCATGTTCTACAAATGTGCACAGAGCACAGAGAACTACTGTTTGTTCCATGGACCAGATGGGTGTAACATTTACTTTGAGTCAGATGCAACTCATTCAAAAATTTGTTTCAACTATTAAAAAACAATTCTCCCACTTCTGGAGAGAATTTTAATTAGTCTATTATTGCCAAACCTGAATCTACCTTGAATCAATCGTTCTAGTTGCTTATCATTGTACAGGGAAACACGTTTCCTAACTCTGCATATGACAAATAAACATTTGACCTTGACCTTTGACCTTATTAGCTGGGATAAACATTTAAAGAGTCTGAGGTACCTGTCAGTGCGCCCGCCCTCCAGACTGAAGCGGAGGTAGTTCATTCCATCCAAGTACTGTCCCCAATCTATCTTCACTTTTTGAGCTCCTAGTCAGAGGGCTCTTTGCACACTCATTGTCCCTCCAATATTTAATTTCTCTTTCAAAGTGCAATATTTAAGTCATCAAAAGACTGAGCTGTATCAAATACAGATGTGTAATTAAATTAGTAGTTCTTCATCCCTACCCTTCTCTACACTCACAGTCTGCATTATTTTGTTAAGGCAACATCAGAATTAGTTGTTTGAGGACTTTCTAAATTTATTCACTTTAACCCTTTAGCCCTGCGATGGCGACCTGTCCAGGGTGTACCCCGCCTTCACCCGATTGCCGGCCGGGATTGGCCCCCCCCCCCCCCCCCCCGTGACCCCGCTCAGGGAACAAACGGTAGAAAATGAATGAATGAATGTATTTATTTTGAAGAGTCTATTATAGAAAAACAAGAGCGAGATAAATTGAGACCTATTAATCAAGTTAACATCTGTGTTTGTTACTGTGCTTATGCATAATAACACCCCAGAGTAAAAATCCAATAAGAGCCTTATCATGACCAATTAATAATCATTAAGTGATAGTTTGCTATGGATATACTAAAACCAAAGCTGACTACATGTATGCTCACTGTCCAACCTAATTTGCCACACATCTTAAAGCTGAGCAAGTTCTGGTGGACTGTGTGTGAGAGTAGCCCCCATACTCCTCCCTGTCCCACCTCCAGCTGTGAGTCAACATCTGCAATCAGAATGAAGCTATGTGAGACAGAGATGGATAATTATTTTTACACTTCACCTGGTGATTTATTTTTTAGACTTTATAATTAGTTATAATTGAGATTTATGTTTATGTTATGTGACTTGCTGTTGTTGATACAGTTGAAAAAAAATGTTTGCAGTTTCTTGGTTTTCTACATAAATTGGTCATGAAATGTGATCTGCTCTTCACCAAAGTCACGAATATCAACAAACAATGTTTCAGCTGAGTGAGCATCTTCCATAAACTACTTCCTATGGAAACTCTTAAAACAGTGAGCATGAAAATTAATACTCATATGACTGAAACACTCATTTGACCAATTAATAAGAATAATCATTTTAAGATCCACTTTTATTTAAAGCCATCAACTGCATCTCACAGTGAGCAGATGGACACTGAAAGGTGTTTGAAGTGAACCTTGAATTTAAAATTAGTAGGTCAAAATAGCTAAAACATAGTACAGCTTCTGTGTCACACTGTATTTCATGTCAGTTTCATGTACCTGCTGTCCTAAATTAGCTTAACTACATATAATTCTGCCATATTTACTATTTACTGTAGTTGTTGTTCCTGGAATGGTGCTGTACCACCTGCACAGTGATAGATGGTCATTATTAAACACCAGTTCATAGCTGATCATTAGTTTGATATTATAACAATAATCTAATGGTGTTAACTGTGTGATCCAGATTTCCTGAAAGACTTCCATTGACTAACCACTGCCAGCTGCTGTCAGGGACAGGAGGCCTTTTAACACCTTCACCTGACCACAGTGCAGCCCCGTGTGAATTTTGACATCTGCATTTGATTTGAGTCTTTTGACAAAAATGCATATTGGTTTCAGTCAAATTTTTGTTAGTCAATAAAATTAACTACATTTTGGTCTAGTTTTCATCATTTTTTAAACTGTAATTTTAATATTTACTGCAGGCTACATCATCTTCATCCTGGTTGTGTCCAGTTACCATGGTTACATGTGTTGTTCCCATCTATCCTAAGGTGTTTTACTCACACGGTGTCCCTCTGCTCTGCAAAAGCTGGGCTCACTCACATTTGGACTAAAATCCTGTTCACTGGGTTCAGCTTGAGAACTGACACTAAATCATCAGAAAACAGTAAACAGTGAGTCTCCGCAGCGAACGCGTAGAGATGATTTATGGCCATATTAATGCTGGAACTGACGGCAACACCAAAGATATGCGACTGAAAGGAGCGTTAAGGCTACATCTACATCCACAGCGTTTCATGTTCAATGATCCCACCACTCCATATGGCGTGCTGCTGCATGTTCCTAGTGTCGCCCAGCAGGCTTTGTGTGTAATTCTCTAGATTGTAGATGAAACCTGTTTCTTCCAAGAAGCGCTAAAACCAGGAGACAGAACATTACTGAGCCGGTAGTGAAACACATCATGTGGCTAATTCAACTCCTGGACCAGAGAGACAGGCTGCTGGAGCAAACTGATTCCACAGGTCATTAATTTCACACTCATTCATTCGTCTTTCACATTACCGTTCACTTTTTATTTGTTGACATTTTGTCATAGCTCGCATTGTCAAACACTACTTTTTATTTTGTTTTTGTTTCGTTTTCTTCCTGAAAAATAGGTCGTCAAATATTTTTCATTATTTTGTTTGGAAGCATTTCAGTTCCATTGTCCTGTCTTTGTTGATGTAA